ACCAAAATCCATCTTTATGAAATTTGCTGAATCTTTGAAAATACCCCAGAAGGAAAAGGAGAAGAGGAAAATTAGTAGTAGGTGGTGATAAAAATCAGCCCCTGTGTAGGAAACCATATTCTATATCACCTATTCTAAAAATAAATCTTCCTAATCTCGTCGATGTTATTTTCTTTCATCCTTAGAACTAATGCTACACATTCTTTTTGATCAAAACGAATATTTAAAGACTTTTCAGATATATCCTTGATCTTTGTCTATGTTGTTTTCCCTCTTTTCCATGAATTTTACTTAAATTGCCTTTCCAGTTTGTGTTATCAGCATTTTAAATTTGTTTACCTGAGGATCCAGGGGTCTAGAGTTCTTGCAAATCTGAAAACAATTCCCGAGAAGATGAAAATCTAAAACTGTGATTATGCACAAAGATTAGGTTAAGAATTGAATGATGTTTTGTTCTTAGCTGATAGTCCATCTCCTAAATTTTTTCCTGCTCTTAGATCCAACATAAAGTGATAAAGACATTTTTCAACATTTCCAAAGTCAGGGTTTACTTATTCAACAGAAAAGCCTTTGAGGCTGTCAAATGCTTTATAATTTGGAAAGGATAACCCCTTTAAAATATTACTTTTCTTGTAAGAAACTACAACATATTTGCCATCAAGAAAACATGTTTTAAGGAATATGTTTTGCTTGGATGATAAGCAAGATTTACTTTAGATGAGCTGAATCAAATGTTTAAGATTTTGCAGATATAAATACATTTATTGAATTTATTGAAATAAACTCGTATGGTTTGGACATGAAGTATTCCCCACAGACTCATGTGTTGAAGGCTTCGTTGCCAATGAAACAATGTTCGTAGTTGGGGCTTTTGGGAAGTGACTGAATCACTGGGTGGTACTCTGACCTCATCCCATGGATAGGTGAATAGATTACTGGGAGGTGGGGCATAGTTGGGGGCAGTAGGTTACTGTGGCATGCCCTTTGGGACTATATCTTTTCCCTGGAACTGTCTCAGTTTCTCTCTCTCTCTCTCTCTCTCTCTCTCTCTCTCTCTCTCTCTCTCTCTCTCTCTCTCTTTCTCTCTCTCTCCTTTCTGGCTGCCTAAAAGCCTCCAGCATGCCCTTCTGCCATGGTGTTCTGCCTCACCTTGGATTAAAACAGTGGAGCTGAAAAACCATCAGCTGACACCTCTGAACCAAGATCTCTCCTCTTTTAACATGTTCTTGTCAGGTATTTTGGTTGCACTGATAAAGAACTGACTAACACAACTGTTGAAGTCACTTTAAAATGTGTGCAGAAAAACTTTATTGCTTATTCTCACACAGTATGTTGGAATTTAAAAGGAAACAGTATATCCCAAATTTTGGGCCAGAACTTTTTCTGAAACATATGTTGCTGCCCTTTGGCAGAGTATTTAACACTTTATGTAGGGGGGGAGGTACTGAGGATTGAATCCAGAGGCCCTCTACCATTGAGCCAGAAACACTGCAACCCTTTTTATTTTATTTCCAAGACAGAATCTAGCTAAGTTGAAAAGGCTGGTCTTGAACTTGCAAACCCCCTGCCTCAGCTTCCCAAATCACTGGGATTACGAGTGTGGACCACTGTGTCCAGGTTGTATTTGGCATTTCTGATAAAGTGCTTGAGTAACTTTCTGAAAGACTAAAGAGACTAAGATATCTACCAGTAATATTTTCTCATAAAATAAAGATTTATGATGAGGTTAATAATCAGTAACCAGCAATTTTTTTTTTTAAAAAGATTACTGAACCAATTTCTTTTTCTTTTATCTAACTCTTTCTTCATCTTTCCTCTTTCCTTTTTAAAATTTTCTTCTACTTACAAAATCATTTTACCTTGAAGGAATCTTTAAATTAGTTCTCTTGTTAAGATTAAAGTAAAACTTTGACATATGTTTGTAATCAATTTATGTGGAAAATTGTATTAGTAAGCTAGTCAAAATCTCAAAACTTGGCAACATTCATAGCTTGGAGTAGCTTCTAACAAAATATGTAATAAGTTTCTGCTTTTGTGGCTCATGTAAAAGTTAATATAAAGCCAACTCATTTCATTATAGGTGTCAATTTAAAAAGTTACTCTTTGAGAAATTAAAAGTTAATGCTGTCTACTTATAGAAATGTAGAATGTCATACATAAAGTAAGTAATCATACCTTTAAAAAGAACTATGCAAAACAAGCTCAAACGAATAGATTTGATCACTGTTCTATGAGAGTAAAAGTAACTCAGGCTATGAGTTTTGGCTGACTCCCAAAATGGATCTGTGGTTATCAAGAAGAGATAAATCATTCTTGAGAATACTTATATTTGCCACTTGGCCTGAAGGTTGTTTTTAATTTGGAGGATAAACATATTTTGATTTATTTTATCCTTGGGGTATGTGCTTATAATTTTAAGATAAATACTGGGAGTAAGACAATTACTTGAATCTTTCCATATGTTTGTTTAAAAGTCAATGTAGCTAATAGGCATTTGGTTCTTATTATGGGAATGTATGTAGAATATACGCTATATAGTGTATACAAGTCTATTAAATACTATCTAATATTTCTCAAACAAATACTTCATTATGTTAGATATCACAATATCAGAGCAATTCAGAAGCAAACTTTTCAGTAGAATTGTAATGTGTTAGGTTGGCAATAGAGCTTAGAGCAGTTTAGCAAACAATTTTTATTTTTAAATGCTTGGAGGCTAAGGCCTTGAACAAATATATTACAAGGAAGAAATGAGAATACATTTGGAAATCTCATTTTGAATCTCTCAAACTTCTTTGAGTTCTGTTCCTTCTTCCTTCAAAAGTATATCTCCCATTTATAAAGAATTTCCCTCATAAATTAAATGGAAACTTAAAATATATTAAGAAAATCATTTTACCTCTATAAATATAAATTTTCTGTGTAGAAAAATATGATTAATCTGATAAAACTTCAATTTGGTTTTTTGAAAACTCCTTCATCATTCTGATTCTACATTACTTGAATTCAGTTATATAAATCTAATGGAAACATAAAATAGCCCTTATTTTGAAGAAGTATTATGTACTAACTCAGTTCAAATGTTATTATTAAAACTGTTACAATAAAATAAAGAGCTGGTTTGCTTTGGGAATAAATGGTCACTGAAGAAACATGAGAAATAAAGTAGCTCTAAAAAATATCCACCTTTGTCAATCTTTGGGGTGTATTACTTTCAATAAGACTTGGGAACTTGCTTAATTTTAACCAAAATTATTCCATCACCACTTTCTCTTCTTACTGGTGCTACATCTACTTTCTTAGGCTCTTTCCCTTCCCCTATAGTCTTTGTCTCATGCAAAGTAAGCAAACTTTCTATTTACCATTCCCCTATCTAGCAAAGCTACAGTCTTCCTTAGAGCCTGTCTCTTCACAGGGGAGTGTGGATTGTAAATAGCCTCCAATTTCTGCTGTCATGAATTATTTTATTTCCTTTCACATTAACAACACCATATTTTGACACAGGCCCTCTGATTAATAATATCCATATGATTATGTTAAATCTTTAGCTTGATAATAAATACCCGTTGGAAGTTTTCTGAATCCATATTCATGTTCTGTTCTTTCAGTCAGTGAGCTTTCCAGTTGCAGGGAAATGCCAGTGTTCCCTGTCAGCTGAGTTCTGTTGAATGTGTACACTTTAGAAAGGCAGGTTTCATTTGTCCTTAACTGTTAATTCTTTTCTTCAGCATTTAATACATTACTTGTCCTTTCTACATCAAGGACTTTGAAAATATATTCAGAGCCTTGTGTTTAGGTTCCCTTAATATCATCCTTTAACAATTATAAAGATGGAATGAGGATAAGCTTATAAAAACCCTTCAAATCTCCATTCATTTGAAACTGCCAAAGCCTGAAGAGTGAGCAAGACTAGACCTAAGTGTCCTATTAGGAAGAAGGTGAATCAAGAGAGGCTGGGTCATGCAAGTGAAAGGTTGGATTCTGTCTTGGTTTAAAATCATGATAATTCGGTTCATTATTGTATTCATTTTGTTTTTAGAATTTTATTTGTCATGTTATTGAGCGTTTTGGTACCTCAAATTTTGTGCATGAGACAAATGCCTCACTCATGTTACCCTTGTTCCAGACCTGTTAAGAAGATGGTCTCCTTTTCTGATTGTTTGGTATTAAAGAGAGAATATATTTCAGTATGGAGAAGAGGGAGAACTGACAAAAGAATTGTCCAAACTGAAAAGCAAACAAATATTACAAGATCACTAATATTTTCTTCAAGACAGATATAATAAAACAATCTTTTGTGCTGACAGACTTGTAAATATGCCAGAAATTTTTCCTACATAGAGAAACTCATGCCTTTCATACCCTAAAGATAAGAATGTGAGAAGGAACAAAATGGCACATATTAATGAAAATATAAATTATCACTGAAGAGAGAAAGAATACGGCCTTTGGTGAAAAACTCCAAAATAGGAAGAAGAGGAAGATGAATATTCTGGCTGGATTTGCTCCTAAATCTTTCATGAATTTAGGCAGTCATTTATAGTTTCTTTCTTCGTTTTGGAATCAAATGTTCCTTTCATGATAACCTTAATCATTTACCTGCTTAAAAAGAAACAGATATCACTTTTAAAAAAGGAAAGAATTAAATTTTCTTTAGCAACAATAAGTGTTGGCAAGAATTTTGGGAAAAGGCACACTCATACATTGCTGGTGGGACTGCAAATTGGGGCAATCAATCTGGACAGTAGTATGGAGATTCCTTAGAAAATTTGAAATGGAACCACCATTTGACCTATTTATCCCACTCCTTGGTCTATATCCTAAAGTCTTAAAAGCAGCATAATGCAGTAATGCAGCCACTTCAATGTTTACAGCAGCACAATTCACAATTGCTAAACTGTGGAAGCAACCTAGAAGCTGATAAAGATGAATGGATAAAAGCTGATAATAGATGAATGGATAAAGAAACTGTGGTATATAATATAATATTACTCAGCATTAAAAGAGAATAAAATTATGGCATTTGTAGGTAAATGGATAGAGTTGGAGAATATCAAGCTAAGCAAAATAAGCCAATCTCAACAAACCAGGGGCCAAATGTTTTCTCTGTTAAGTGGACGCTAATTCAATGGGGGAGGGAGCATGGGACAAGTGGAGGAACTTTGGATGAGCAAATGGGAGGAGGGAGGGGGTAAAGGTATAGGAAAACAGGTGGAATGAGATGGACATCATTACCCTAGGTACATTTATGATTGCACAAATGGTGTGACTCTCCTTCTTGCAAAACCAGAGCAATGAAAAATTCTGCTCCATGTGTGTACAATGAATTGAAGAGCTTTCTACTGTCATGCATACTTGATTAGAATAAATAAATAAATAAATTTTAAAAATAAAAATAAAATTGCTTTGAAAGTTAGTATTTTCACAGGACAGTAGCAGGTAATCTGGAATACACCAGTGAACACTTTCAGGAAAATCTCCAGCCTCTTTTTGCAAACAGAATATATTGAATAAAGTTATAGAACTGAGCTACAATTTGGTGCATGCCACCAATCATACTTCCTGGAATTTCTGACCATTCTTTTCAGAACTCAAAATTTAGTTCAGCATCCAATTATTCTATTCATGTTATAGCATGAATAGTTTTTTATGTGAGCCTAGCATGTAATAAAACTTTGCTAAGTGTAGTTCATATGAACAAAATAACATTGGTTTTATGGCAAATGTTCTAAAATGATGGAGGTAATAGGGAAAGAAATCTAATTGATGTCACTTAATATAATAACTAATCAAAGTTAGCTCCATAGGTACAAACCAATAATTATCAAATACAAAAACCTAAGTTGAAAAGAGAAGTTCTGGAGATATTTAAAATAATACTGAAGATAATTGAGATCATTTATACATTGAAGTATAAATGATTCAGGTCTTGAAATAATACATTTAAATTTTTAGATTCGTCACATTTTTAAGTGGTCCATGTCCTGTAGGAGTTATCAGAATAACTTGATTGTATACTTTATAGTATTCTGAAAATATTAATGCTCATTTAAGTCCATAAAAATGCAAAATAACCATCTTTTTAAAGTGGAACATCATTCATCAGGGAATCATTTGCTTATGGAGAGACGGTCATGGAGACCTGGAGAAGTGCTATGTATTTAATAATTAGAATCTGTTGCCAATTATATCATTCTTATTGTCTTCAGGTATGCTTTGCTATTTATCTTCATCATGAAAATCTTATTCTTGGGCTTTTAGGTCTGATTAAAAATCTACTGTATGAAAAAATTCTACCACTATCCAAAAGCCTTTGCAAGCCTAAAACATGTAACAAAATAGTTGTGAATATGTATATTACATGACAATTATCTCTCATCCTCATATCCAATAACAAAAAATAGATATTTCAGATTAGACAACAACCGCATGCTAAGGCAGTACAGAACAAAAAAAAATATTTTTAAAAACTAATATTTTACTATGTGGCAGAGTAAAATCAAAGGATAGTTGGGAAATGTAAGTTCTATTGAAATTCCTTTCATTCAACAGTTATAGAACATCCATAATTAATCTTATGATGATTCTCAACTAGAAGCCCTCTTGGCAATCATATGATATAAATAAAGGAAGACAGAGGCAAATTTGTACTCATTAATAAAACAAAACATTTGATTAGAGGATACTGATAAAATAAAATATTCATGATTTTAGTTTATTTTCTGTTGAATTTATTAATAATCTTTATATATATTTATATATGTATGGCTTTGAGCAAAGACAAAAGAAATACTCTAACTCATCCCTGATCATACAGTTGTTGTAGGAATCAGCTATGTTACTATCTTCCCAGCAGCAAAAAGGCCAATCTTTTCAATAATACATTTCTTTCTGTACAGATTAAAACTCCATACTTGTGGGCTTAACTATGTACAGAGAAAAAGAGGTCACTGTCAACTAGCAATGAACCTTTATATTACAGAAATGTGAGTCAATTTTTTTCTTAACCTAAGTATATATACATTCATACATATATATGTATATAATTTACCCTGTACCTTGTTTAGGTTAGCATATAAACCTTAGGGTTTTTTTCCCATTCTATTATAAAGTGAATAAAAATTGTATGGTTGCACTGAAAGACCATGCAATTCAATTTTGCTTATGATTCCCAATAGTGCTCAAAATAAAAAACCAAAAATTCATATATATAAAAATATTTCACTACCAAACCCATTAATTCTATCAAATGTAAAACCTTTAACAATTTAAAGGAGCAATGCATGATCTTAATAAATTGAAATTAATTCTCATATTTTAATGAAATAAAGGAGTTTTGTACTGATACTTAAATGATCTTGCAGCTTTCCCATAGATTCTAGGTAGGCTGAACAATTCATTTCTCAGGCCATTCCTGACATACCATCATTTGTCACCAGCATATTAATGATAATATATTGACTAGCATTGTTGATCACTTCCACATGAGTTTGGATCTGTTAGAAATTAAACATAATATCTCATTTTGGTATTATAAGTATTATATCCATAAAAGGCATAACAGGCAGCATGGATCCACTTTTGCTTTCTGTCCTCAGTCTTGAGGCCCTGTCCCAGATAATGTGTGATCTTTTTAAGTTCTTCTTCAATGTGCCGTAAGCGTCAGAGATACTGAAGTTCTCCACTTTAGGTCATTTTCGTTATTTGGGTTATTTGCAGAAGTTGGACATTAGGAATCTTTCCATAGCATTCCAGTCATCCACCACATTTTTTGTGATGCATTAGGCACAAATGATTACTAAGGGACTTCTTTGAGGAGAAGCAGATGCTCACAGATCATGGAAAGAATTAAGGAAACAAATGAACGAACAAACAAACAATGCTTACAGACATTCAACTTTACCCCAGCTTTCTGTCACCAGGTACATACTGTTTTCAGCACATTTGAAATAATGAGCTTCCTATCTAAGGTCTATGTTAGTCACCACATGCCTTAAGATTTACTAACCACTTAGTTACAATATACATAGAGCAAAATGTGTATTCCCAAACAGACATGATGATATATTGTATTTATTTCTTTAAATTAACACCACAGTGAACTACCAACTACAGTGAAGACATAGAACACACTCTCAACTCCAAATTAAGCTGTGGTTTACAAATAATTACTTAAATAATAATAATAATAATAATAATAATAATAATAGCAATAATATTAAATGAAAATGAAAAACCTCACTTCTAGACTTAAGTCAGAAATCCAAGTCAGCCTTACAAGAATTTTAAGATAGGCAATTAATGAATTTTTATATTTTTCTAGAAATGAGAAATACTGTAAGCCTTCCCTTACAATGAATGATTTGAACATATTATTTCCCCCCCCAAAAGCATGCAGGGACTATTTTCAGATGCTTGATCATGGCAAGAAGGAAGAAAAGTAATGATTTTTGGTGTAATACAAGCAATTTGTAGATTCGAGCATACATTTTGCATAAAACGTTGCAGGTTAAAATAATATTGTAGGTTTCAAGCCATTGCATTACAATTGAATAATTGTCACAATTCGGTTTTGTAAAATTTAAAACTCTAAGTTTTGAAGTGAAGCAATAAAACTAAATCCTTAAACAATGACTTTTACCTTCATACAACACAGAATAGCTATTTTTATTTGGGTTCAAAAAAATATTTACAGCTTAACATTGATTGAGTCTTGGTAAAAGTCCAATAACACATGAAGAGAAATATTCCCTCAGCTTTCTGAAAGACCAATGAACATGTTTGAGATTAGAGGCAGTCTTTTAACAGTGGCAATGCTAGTCTCCTACAATGGCCAAGCATATAATGTGTTCTTTTTCTAATTCAAAATTGAAAGCACCAAATTACAATTTAGATCTATAAAATGGGATTTATTATTTAATCCCCCATAATTAATGATTGAAAATTTAGATGCAGAGACACAACTAATGAATAAAAATTTTGATTGGTGCTATTCCAGAGCTCATTTGAGTTGCGTTTTTAAAATCAATAGTTTTGTTCCCATTGAATCCAAGAACTCTTCATAAAATAGAGAAATGCATATACCCAAAGAATTAAGTAAAAGTACATTAGAAAGAAATAATCTTACAACAACATTTTAAATCTTTTAATGATTTAAAGAAAGGAAGACATATAACACTGAATGCTAAACAGTTCTTTTGAACTTCTCTTGGGAATTTAGATATATATTTAATAGTATATGTATATATGTTTTTACATTTTGCATGTAGGCCATAGCTGTCTAAAATATCTCTTCATAGTAGGCTATAGGGATCTATCAGGAGATAGAATAAAATAAGATCTGAGAATACTCTCAGTTTATTAGAGTATTTCTTTCTGCTTTGACAATTAGCAGGGATCATAAATTTGAAGCAAATCGTGGCTTTTCTGCATCTGGGTCTGTGTTTAAGACTGAGGAAGGCTCCCTCTGAAGAGCGGTTGCTGGTGGAGGGGGTGCAGGAGGGACTCCTCGATTGGGGGGAATGGCTCCCGAAGACATTTGTCGGAAGAGGGTGACTCGCTGAGGGACTGTGCCCCTGCCCCCTGCCTGAAGGCTTGTGCCATGGACGGCTGCCACCGGTTGGGGGATGGAGGCCAGGGACTCGCCCACAGTGGGATGAGGTCTGGAGATCAGAGTGGACACCTCATGGGGCAGCGAGGGCTGCGAGGCCGAAAGGGGCCTGACTTCTCGGGTCAGGTTGGTGTTATGAAGCGCCTGCGTGCTCTTGTGCACTTCGTTTTTCGGTGTGGAGCTGCTGGGTGTCTGTGGCTGTTGTGGTGGCTGCTGCTGCTGTGGCTGAGTCTGCGGAGCCTGGGACTGCTGCAGCTGCTGCTGCTGCTGCTGTTGCTGCTGCTGCATGAGTGACAACTGGGAAGCAGTGGGGGAGGCATAGTGGAAAGTTCGCGTGGTCAGCGGGCTCTGTACAGGAGGGCTGCAGACCGCAGTGGTGTAGGAGCATGGTGAGAGAATGGCCGATGGTTGGGGTGTCTGTGTGCTGGGACTCGAGGAATGCAGGTTGCTGTGAGACAGGCTAGTCGCTGTGTACACCGGTGGAGATTGTGTCCTCATGCGCGATGTTGGGGTAGTGGTGGAAGATGTCGAATTCAGGGCTGTCATTTGAGGATAATTGATTGGAGCGATTGCCTGCACCATCTCTCTGTCATGTTTCACAATCTGCTTCAGGATCTCATTCTCCTGATTGTTGAAAACACCAGTGTTCAGATCCTTCTGGAACTTTTGTAGAAGAATGGAGTTTTTCTTGCCTATCAACAAAGGAAAAAAAAAGAGAAAAGAAAAAAGATAGGATAGGCACTTATGGAGTCTACTCCTGACTGATGAGGAGATCAGATAAGAGGATCACTCACAAGCAATATCCAAGAATTCCCCATTACAGAGCAAATATAAAGGAAGCTTCTGCCTTGTGCACTTCCTGTATCTGCGGGGTAAATCTTAAATTTTATTCAAGTCAAGTGGAAAAGTGTATGAAAGATATGGAGCTATTTAACACTAGAGCTATCTTAAAGAATGGGGGAAGAAGGGGCGTTTGGATCAGGCTGAACCTAGAAAGGAGATTTGAATTTCATGCAAGAAAAGCCAATGGAGAAATAACAGCAAACATGTGAGGCCTTGCTCTACAAAGGACTTCAGTACATTATTTTATTTCATCCTCTACCTTATGATATATGTATAGTCATAATAATCCCATTGTCACTAGAAAGGAGACCTGGGCATGGGAAGATTAAGTACAGTGCCCAAGAAAACACAGTTAGAATGTAACAGGGGTAGGAAGGAAACAGAAGAAATGTGATTGTGCACTCTGATTGCAGATAACAGACTGGCTGCATCTCTGTCATCTAATTGCTTTCTAGATATGCAGCCTCTTTGGCCTTCCCCCATATATGAGTCTGCCTCTGCATTCTAACAAGACTCCAGGGTGGTTAGGGAGCAGCATATCAGGTCCTTGACCAATGTCCAGCACCAATGATTCTCAATTCCAACTGCATATTTCTCCCATCTCTGGAGCTTTAATATGTACTAATGACCAGCAAACTTGAAAGACCCCATCAATTCAAATTCTGGACTCAGACAGGATCTAGACTGTTGTGCCTTAAAAGGAAATTTCCCCAAGGGATCTTTATGTGCAGCCAGGTGAGAACCATCTTGTGATCATTCCTCTCCTAAAGGGTTGTGGTGAAGGCCAGGGGTATAGTGTGGCAGGTGCTCAGCTCACACTAAGGACCTCAATAAATCTTAGCTCTTCTTCCTGTCATCATCTTTGAAATGGTTTGAAATAACTAGAGATTTGCTGGAAGACTAAGAAGTAGAATTATTAGTGGATTGGTGAAAAAAGGAAAAAGCATAATCCAAGTGAATTTGATAACTGAAAAGTTAACTAGTTTGCTATGTTGCTAAATAAAGTATCATATCAAAAGAAATAATGTGTATTTTTCAAAATGAAAGTGTTAAAATTTTCCTGGCTACTAAAAACGCAATCATTTTTATTCCTGCCAAGACAGGTGTCTCTCTTTTTTTAAAGAAACTCTATTAATTAACCAAAGAACAAAAATCCTATATGAATAATAAATACAAATGCTTTTTTAGCATACTCCCTTAATGAATGACAGTGTACATTTCTAAGCAATGGTCACAAAACTGAGATGGATAATGTTTTTCTGTGACCATTTGAATAGCCAGCATTTCCTAATCTAATGGAAAAAATTAAAATAATTTTTATGTTCTGTTATAATTTTATAAAGATCAAAATGCAAGTGACTTGTGCTTACTAAGAATTTTATTGTCTCTATAATTTATTGCACACCATTTCATGCAAACTTGATTTTAAATAAATAGCTGAAATAATTTAGATGAATGTGAAGCTATATCAAATCAACAGAAATTCTCTACTGAAATACCCTAGGTTTCATGATTTATCTGAAGATGTCCAGCTGGTGTAGGAAAACCTCATACTCAGAAATCAGTCTCTGGGTCTAACATGAACACTCAAGCCACAAAAACCAAAGTTCTTTTTAAGTTCCATGAATACTATCAGGAGTGCCTACTTTTATGGCTACCATCTCCATGGATGAGTACGTTCTATAAATTCTCTCAGCTGTCAATATGAATTTCTAATACATTTGTTATATCTAATGATAATATCCAAATACTCCCTTTATTTCTCCTAATCAAACTTCAGATGTTTATACAGTCTGTTATTCCATAATACAGAGGGAAAGAAAGATATAAAGTGCAGGAAAAAAAATACTGACATAACAATAAATCAATCTATATTCTTCCTTTAATAAGAATGAAGCAGTAGAGGTACCTTTTGTTTACTTCTAACTGATCCCAGTTCCATCTGCTTTAAGTCCACTTATTCCTTTCTCGCTCCCTCTCCCCTTTCAACAAATATTTACTGGGCATCAGGTACTATGAATGTAATGATTAATTAGACATGATCTCTTTCATTCACAAAGCTTAGTATGTTACTATAATGAAAGTGTTGTGATGGGGGCACTTCAGATAAGAGAACATAATCAGGGAACTCAGCCTACTTGGGGATGAGAGGTCAGAGAAGGTTTCTACAAGGCAGTGATTTTTAAACAGATATGAGGGTTGAGTGGAAATAAAGTGGGAACGAGGGTAGATGGGCAAAGAAAGTCCAAGTTTGGAAAATGAATGTATACCATGGTATAACATGTCAGAATATTCCAGAATATTTAGAAAAGTTAATTAAACCAATCTGATCTAACTTTACTATGGCAATTATTCATATCACAAATTAGCATAACTAATAAGGTATAATTTATATATTTTTATTTGTAGCACTAAAGAGTGTATACTGGCTTTGCAAAGTAAAATATCTAGTTTGGGCACTTTCATCAATGCTTTCTCTACATGATTCTGTATTACAAACATTTCAATAAGTTTCTGCTGGTAACAATTTAAATACAAAGTATTCAATTTTTAATATAAGGATAAAATGTCAAGACAAAAAGTGAACCTTGTGACAAAACTGGTTTGTAATGTAGACTCATACTATTGTATTTTTGGTGCTATTTTAATGCTCTCTAGAATTTGTATTGATAGTTTTTACCTGAAGATTCAATCTATTTTGGTATCACATGGTATATCAGATTGAGTCGCTGGTAAAAACAGATGTGAATATGTAAATCCAGAAAACGGGAAAGATAGGACCTCAGAACTCTACAGAAAAATGGCTACAGTTAATTGCTTTTCTACATAATATAACAAGCACTGAACTAGCCTTTGGGACACATGATTGCAAACTTATATTATGCCACAAAATGAAAATTAAATTTTTCATGAAGCAGTTAGAAAAGTAAAGAGTACCTATCCGATCTAGTCGGTCAATGGCCACTGTCTCAAAGGCTCTTCTCATCATTGGATATTCCTCCAGGACCTCATTGAAATTGTCCACCGAAAGGGAATAGAGACGACAATATGTATCAGCTCGAACACTGGCAGTGCGTCGTCCCTTAGTCAGCAAGCAAATCTCTATAAAAGCGAGAAAGAATGGCATGTTTGGTAATTTTCTATGATAAGCTAATAAGGCCTCCTGAAATTAAAACGAAATAGTCTCATGAAGTGAAAATCCCATGGTTAAGCAGCATTTTCTATTTTATCAGGAAATTCCTTCTGACAATCAAAAGTATCCAATTGTCAATATCAAATTTAAAAATTACATTTTTTTAAACAGTTAAAGTTTTTTGTTTCAAATTGGAAAATTTGTCTATTCTTCAATCACCACCCAATCATCCTAAAATAAAATAACAACAGAAAAAAGAAAAGAAAAGAGTCATATTCAGGCAGAAAAAAGTTTTTATGAATTCTGGAAGGCAGAAAGCAGGTGATCTATACACTGAAACACAAATCAGTCAAAACACTGACTTAAAAATCTCTATGAGCACACAAAACTGGACCAGTTTCAGATAAATTACAGGATTCCTTAATATAACCCCATTCCCTTTTAATATTCCCACTGAAGATCAAAAAGAAGAAAGTCATATCTCAAAGGTACTTTTAAGATTTCTGCATTGATTTAAATTCTCAAAATATGGCAAATGAACATTTCACACTTGGATTTCATCATTTGATAGCCATAAATATATTTATAAAGGTAATTTTCCAAATTTTATAAGTGAAATAAAACTTCAACTGGCTTTGATATTTTAAACTTGAAATAATTTAAAAATTTATCTTCAAAATAGGTCAATTTGAAAAAAAATGGCAGAATTATTTCTAAAATTTAGTTTTCTAATAAAAAGAAGTGTGGTAAAATAATGATTAAATGTCTAAATTCCCACTCTTCTAAACTTGAAGTTCTTTTTGTGTCGACAGACATTATGAGTAAATTGTTTTAGGCACTATGTAATTGACGTTGGGACTGGAGATATAAATTAAATAAGATGTCCACTTTCATGTTACTTCAAAACTGGTGGTTAAAAGGAAGTCAGCTTTAGGAACAGTTCATGTAACTGTAATCTGATAAGAAAAATCCAGATATGACGACTCTAGGGGTATTTAAGAAGGATTTCTGAACCAACCTGGGAAGGTTGGGAAGACTCCAGTAAATGCCACCTAAACCTTAAATTATGCTGTTGCACATGTTGGAAAACATACATTGAATACATAATATTTTGGAGTGTTCATGTTTATGAGCAGGCTCATGCATGTTTGTGTGGTGTGTGTGTGTGTGTGTGTGTGTGTGTGTGAGAGAGAGAGAAAGAGAGAGAGAGAGAGAGAGAACTTTTTAAAAAATATTTATTTATTTTTTAGTTGTAATTGGACACAATACCTTTATTTCACTTATTTATTTTTATGTGGTGCTGCGGATGGAAGCCAGGGTCTTGCATGTGCGAGGAGCTCTCTCTACCGCTGAGCCATAATCCTAGCCCCAAACATTTGGTTTTTATGTAGAAAGATAAATTTATATTTGTCAATATTTAAGCAAATTATTATATCATGTAATTTGTCTGGTACTCAAATCTGAGAAATGTAGTAAAAGAAGCATTTCAACACTATCCCCAAATTAAATTTCTGTGTCACTAACGCATTTGTGGTATATTATATAACAAGGTTCTATATTCTTCAATCCAGAAAGTTCACTTGACAATCTAACTGAAGGAAACAGTGTGTAATTAGAATGTTTACTCAGTAATATACATTATGCATTTATTTACACATCAAAAAATATGGGCATGCTCTAAATATCTAACCAGTCAAAATTTCTACAAAATTTTATGGTTTCTGGGTAGACTATTTGGCAGTTATTAGAAGCCAAGACTTTCAAGTCTATGTTAATAATAGGGCATGAAAATTTAAGTGCTAAAAATGAGAGACAAGATTATGATTACTTTTTTCTTTTTTTCAATTTCCCTTATACAAAATATTTTTGTTTATGGATGAACATACTTTTTATTTTAAAAGCTCTATTTAGAAAAATTATCTAAGGGCACAGAAGAAAAAAAAATCAAAGATACGAAAGAACAAAAATTTGGTAATAGTGATTACTATTATAGGAAAATTCTTTGACTTTATTGTATATGCCTTTTTAATATATGTTTATTTCACCATCCCAAATGTTTTCAGTTTCTATTTGTTGGTTTTTCATAATATCCTTCTCTTTTGTTTTATATGTAATATCCTCTGTTGTTCAGTAGGTGTTATGGATTATGATTGCAAATAATGCATACATTCTACAAGAGAGAAACTCTAGTAATGTTCAGTGAAAGAAGCAAGATATGAGTGTCCATGTGTTGTATGAATCCATTTATGTGAAATATCCAGAAAAATGTAAATATACAGACACAGATAATATATTAATGGTCTGGAGCAGAGGATGACAATGGGATTTAATAATAAATGGGAATTGTATTGAATCTGTGAATTGCATTTAGCCTTTTGGACATTTTAATAATATTGGTACTTCTTATCCATGAACATAGGAAGACTTTTCATTTTTTGTGTGTGTTGTTTTCAGTTTCTTTCATCTGAGTTTTGTGGGGTTTATTGCAGAAGAAGTTTTCCACTTCCTGGTTAAACTTATTTTTCAGTATTTTATTTATTTATTTTGGAGCTATTTTTAATGCAATGACTTTCATGATATATTTCTCAGTAACAACATTTTAGTGTATAAAATTTTACTGATTTTTACATTAATATACTGATTTGGTGTCCTGAAACTTCACTAAAATTATTTGTTAGTTCTAGTAATCTTTTGGTGGAGTATTTAGGTTTTTTACATGCAGAATCATATCATCTGCAAACAGCGCTAACCATCTCTATCAGAATACTAATGACTTTATTCATAGAACTATAAAAACTTTAAAAATTCAGATAGAAATGCAAAAGTCTCTGAATAGCAAAAGTCATCTCAAACAAAAAGTACAAAGTTGCAGGCATCATAATACCTGATTTCAAAATATACTACAAATCTGAAGTAGTCAAAATAGCATGATATTGGAATAAAAACAACTTCACAATCCAATGGGATAGACTAAGATACCCAGAAATAGTTTGATACATTTACAGTCAAATGATTTGTTTACAAAAATTCTAAAGGCATACATTGGAGAAATAACATCTTCAATAAATGGTTCAGGGAAAACCGGATATTGGTAAGAAAAGGGTTGAAATGTGATCCTTAGCTCTCATCCTATACTAGAAAATCTCAAAATGGATCAAAGACCTAAATTAAGATATGAAACTACTAGAAAAAAATAGAGGAAATGCTTCAAAACATTTGTAGGAGCAAGACTATGAAAGAACAAGCAATGAAAGCAGAAATAGACAACTGGGATTTCATCGAACTAAGAGCCTTCTGTGGAGTAATGAAAAAACAAAAAACAAAAAATAAAAAACAAAAAACACCAGGAAGAGACAACCTATAGGAAGCAAGGGAAATTGCAAACTATGCATCTGACAAAGGATTAAGGCAAAGGATCCAGAACATATAGTATCTGAAAAAGCTCAAACAGCAAACAAATGAAACAAATGATCCATTTTAAAATGGGTAAATGATACAAGTAGACACTTCTCTAAAGAATAAATTCAAATGTCCAATACACTTATGACTATATGCTCAACTTCATTAGCTGTTAGGAAATGCAAGTCCAAAGTACAAATAGATTATCATCTCACCCCAGTTAGAATGACTAATATCTGAAAAACTAAAGAAAGCAATGCTAGTGAGGGTTTTGAGAAAGAAGAACTCTTATAGACTGTTGGTGGGAATGTAAATTAGTACTGCCATCAAACAATAAGTTTATCCAATGTATGATCTGGCAATCTACTATAGGATACATATCTAAATCAAAAGAAATCAGTCTGTCAAAGAGATAAAGTATACTCCCATGTTCACTGAAGAACTGTTCACAACAGTCCAGAAATGGAAAAAAAAAAAAAACAAGTGTCTATATACTGCTGATAAAGAAAATGTGGTATATATCCTCAATGGAATATGATTCATCCATAAAAGAAAATAAAATCCTATAATTTGTAGCAAAATGAATGGAACTTGAGATCATTATTATCTCATAAGTGAAATATGCCAAGTACAGAAAGTACCACGTGATCTCAATCATACGGGAAATCCCAAAACGCTGATCTTTTAGAAGTTGAGCATAGAATGTTGGTTACCACCAGAGGTCTGAGAGAATAAAAGGAAGGATGGAAAAGGCTGGTCAATGGATACTATTTTACATTTACCCAGGAACAAGAGAGTCTGGAGCGCTATTGCAGAGAGTGTGTTCTGTACATTTAAAAAATATAGAGGAAAGGATTTTGAAAGTTTCACCAGAAGAAATGATGAATGCTTGAGATAAATATGATTATCCAGATTTAAACATTAAACAATGTATACATGTATACAATTGAAACACTACATGGTACCCCATTAATATGTACAATTTTTAATGTTTTTATGTATCAGTTATCAATTAATTAAAAATAAAACATTTAAGAAGATGAAAATGCTAACTACATTGATTTGATTAATACAGATTGTATGTAAATATAACACTATATCACATAAATATATGCAATTAAAGTAATATTAACAAGTTTAAAAACTTATCCAAATGGGCACAAAGACTCTTACCGGGTGATGAAAATACTCCAAAACATGATTATGGAAATGGCTTAAAAACTGGCTAGTATACCATAAATGGGTGAATTATATATGTAAATGCTGCCCTAAAGTTGTAAAACCTGAAAAGAAAAAGAGGCTTCATATTTGTTTTTTTATGTTTATATTTATTATATTTGAATTTCTCTTCAGTTTTCTGAATATGTACCCTTTACTACAAACTCATTTCTGTGTCTAGGTCTTTATATAGTTGTGCATTCACATTTAAGGATGAAAACTGGCAATGTGACAAAACATGTTGTTTCAGAGTATTTCTTCATGTTGAATAGATGGCAGTTTTTCCTCACGTTTTCCTACGTGCCAAAGTAAGTAGGACTGTATTCTAATTTCATTACCCTGTTCTCCTTCT